GCCAAGAGACAGAGAGCGATTGCGTCATCGGAGCACGTAAAAGGAGGTCTCGTCGTTTGAGTCAAGTGTCGTTCTGCTGACTGACCTCTGCCCGCGAGTGAAGGTCAGCGACCGGCGAATTTCTGCAGCAGTCTCCTCAATTGAAGACGAAATTAATCCGCCTCAAATTTCTCATTCGTTTTATTATTTTTTTGCACACCGCCAACGCTTCCTTTGTGACATCAGCAAACAAACTTATGCAAAAAACTGTGAATGAGAATTAGAGTTAGGGGCAAAAAATCTACGCTTACATTAATTAGGCAGCGTCGCGTTTCGTTACGGCTGTGACGTGGAGTACGCATGTGGTCGTTATGCATTTATGAAAAAAGGAAGGACTGACTAGGCCTATTGGTGTCGCGACGAGTCCCCCTTCAGCAGTCTCACTCCCAACTCGGCTGGAATAACAAGCAGTGGCCAACGTCATTTGCATTCGCGCTGGATTTTTCTCAGGATTTTTCCGACGACCACGAGGGCGAGTAGAATTTTTATATTTTTTCCTTGGATTGTCTGCGAGGCGAGACAAAGGGGGGTTTTACAGCTTCTGCGAAACGTTTTTGTGTTACGTGAAGTGTGTCGTATATTTTAACTCTTAGAAATCTCCCATGTGATTCCAAATATCCCATTCTGAATTGAGATGGAAAATTTTTACATTTTATTTTAGACTAAAAATAGTATTATTGCAACAGACAAACTGATACAAAAATAATAAATAATAATAATTAATTCTCAAAGTGGGTTGTGGTTAAAAAAAAAACTAAATAATGAACTCATCAGTTCAGAAAAAAAATTGTAATTAATATCATTTTTCCTATTTAAATGAGGCCATAATCAATATTGCAACATATTAATTTTTTTTATTAAATAAAACTCTTTTTTGTTCAGGAATTGTAGATTAAATTTTTATGATATTAAGTTCCAAGGGTTTAATTTAAGTTAATTATTAATTAAAAATTAAACCTTGTTCAATAAATTTCAATATTACAAACATTGTTGATTTTTAAAATTTTTGTTAAAAATTAACTCTTGATTTTTAACTAAATCCGGACATAAATCTGCGGCTTGGAGTCACTCGAGGTCAAGTGTATATAAAAAAAGGTGCTTCACTTTAGTTTCAACATATTTTTATATGATTATTATTTTCTTCTCGAGGATTCTCTCTGTTATAAGAAAGATGGAAAAGCACGTCCTTGATCACTTTCAAATCAATTGCACTCTATATCTGTTTCTCGTGAGAAATCTTTGTGAAAAGCCGTGAGTTAGTTGCCGCATAGATGCACATTGCGTATGGTGTATGCCCATGAGCTGCTCATTTTGCCGCAAGAACGTCTGGGCAGTAAAGTCTCGGTTACGAGGCCGCAAAGAACATGTTGTAAAAAGAGAGGCGCTTGGGGAAGGTCAACCTGCCACAATGGAGAGCACACGAGGGCAGCAAATGAGGGAGGCGGCTCAAAATTTGTTCTCTCAGTGTTTTTCCCCACGTCCATATTTGGGCGAACCCGCGTGTATTGATTTCGTGGGCGTCCGACTGTTGCTGCACTCGTCGTCGGGAAATAAAAAGCTTGAAGCCCATTTACTCGCGCGCCCGGCGTGTAACTCCTTTTTGTTCCATAAAGAGGAAACGCCCTATCAGAAAGACAAAATAATAAAGAACATGACTACTTTTGATGTTTGTAATAAAAAGTCAGTCGCACAAGATTCGCTGCAGCCTGACAGCGGGTGGCTTCGGCACTAAAGATTTCATTTTATTGCATAACGCGCGCGCGTGTGGCGGGTGCGAACACTGAAAAGCTGACTTCAGCCTTTGTCCCGTCATTCATCATATTCGGTTTTGGTTGGGCGAGAAATGCTTTGATGCAAATCTTTCATCAAATTAACTGAGATTCAATATTGATTCTATGTATTATTCATAATTATTTTCAGAGTAAAAGTATAGTTTGTAAATATCACATTGTAATACCAAAGTTGTTGCAAATTTGGTGGCCAAAGTGTCAATTTTAGACAAAGATAATTATAATACGGGCAACAGGATAAAGCTTATAAAACTTTATTTACATTAAAATTAAATTGTTTAATTGATCTTATATGTAATAAATTCAAAAGTTTATACAAAATTTAAAATATATTTATAAGGTTTGCAATGTTAACTATTTCTTTTTTTAACTCTTTTAATGTCAAAATTATTTTGTACAGTTAGTATATATGAAACAACATTATTTTAATATGGAATAAAAAAAAATTGTAATGTATGCATTGAGGGCATGAGATTTATATTTTTACCATTTTTCTTTCAAATTATAATGTCTGCTATAATAACTTTTAACGGCAAAGGTAAACTTTGAAAGAAAAGTTTCACATCATTTCCCTTTTAGAAAATTAATTTTTGCAGGAAGCTCGCCCAGATTCCGTGCAGCAAGAGAAAATATTATATGGCCGCAGGCTTCGAATTGGGAGAGTGTTAATTTTTTGCGCGCCATTTCCACATTTCTCAGCAGACGCTGATCAAAGTTTATTTTCCATTGTTTTTTCAGCTCTCGAGAGCAGCAGAGGCAGAAAGGGTGAAATGGAAAAGGCTCTTTTCCCGATGGCTGCTCCTCTTTGTGCGCGCAAAACTCGCTGCTATACTTCCTTTCGCTTTGCAGCTTGCTAAGCGATAAATGAATATTCATTTTTATTCCCCTCGGCTTTTAACGGCCCAATTTTTTTCGCTGCGCTCGCTGCCCTTTCGAGAGGAAAAAAATAACAGTCCCGTCGGGCGCCGCCGATGAGCCCGAAAAATTCGTCCCGCAGGAAATTAGACTGCAGTTGTAAAGCGCCCGTGCAATCGGTACATCGGCGTGAAAGGTGCTTTTTATTAGCGGGCCCACCTGACTGTAGCTCCCTTTACGGCATTGTTTGCCGCGCCCAGAGGTTAAAATTTTACTGCGCGCTCCAAAACTACTGCGTTGCCCAGATTTTTATGTCAAAAGTATTGATTTGATATTGCTCACAGATTTTCTCCCGAAATTCACGACATGCCTTAACAGACCGTATAAAAACCTTCACCGTCAAGCGAGCAGTTTGAAAAAAAAAATCACTCTCTAATTTATGAACGATGAGGTGTAAAATGGTTATATTTCATCAAATAATTTTCATATAATATAAAAAGAACAAAACTAATAAATAAAGTATGCAGCTATTGATGGAGGAGGCGCTGCACTTAATTGGAATAGGTCCAATAGATCAAATTAGTTACAGACACGTGCTTCCAATTACAAAATAAAGAGGGGAATATAGCTCATTATTTGATTTTTCCTGTGATTATTCAGCTGTGTTGATCAAAACAAGGCGCAAATACTTTATTTGTGTTTTGTCTGTCGGTGGTGTTCGAAATAATAGGAGGGGCGGTTGGTTAGATTTATCAAGGATTATACAATACAACCGTCGGTAATTAGCCTCTCCACATCACATCCCCGCGTCTGACAGCACGTGCAACAACGCATGACTCACTTCATTACCAACCCCTGCTCATACCTGCCCAAATCCGCCGCCGCCTCCACTAGAAATTAAACCTGCGCGTTCGGATGAGCCAGAGATTTCGCTTCTCCTTGTGGCTTTTGGGAACGCGTCTTGTGACAAAATTCTGATCCAATTTGCCTTTGATCTCTGCTTGTTTGTCGCGGAAAGTTGTTTAATTGGGCGCCTGCTGAACTTTGCCAATTTCAACTTGCTCCGAGAGTTATTATGTAACATATTCACACTCCAATCTTTTTTTGAGTTTGTGGAATAAAAATATAATATAAAATAAATAAATCGAAATTATTTATATATTAAATAATAAATAATAATAAGCGAGAAGCGCATATTATTATTTTAAATTAAAAAAATTGCAATAAAACAAAATAAGGGAATTTTTCCATTCATTTCATCCTTGTGGTTTTTATACATTAGGAAATAAAAAATTAAATATAACTCACTTTCAAAACTTTTGAGATTTGAAATCATTTAAAGGAAGAAAGTATTATTCGATTTTTTTCCCACTGTATAGTTTGAATCTAATTTAACCAATTAACTTTTTCCTTCTCAAAACATCACTGTGTTTAACCAAAAGTTGCTCTCAAAGCGGAGCACATACGAAAGCGCTAATCCGCAATTAAGTGAGCTAATTCATCCTTTATGACCGAGCATGTTTGTGTCTTCAAACATTAAACTTTGTGCACAATTTTATTTGCAAATATTTAACAAACTCAATTAACTCTCCATGTGTGTCTCTGGGAGCGGCGCCTCGGAGACGAGAGAGATTCTTTCAAGTGATGCTCTTTGATGAGATGCTGAAACTTTAACTCGGCGTATGCATGTATGTGTATCAAGGAGAGAGCGAGGCATTTAATTAGCCTTGTACGGCTTTCTTCTTCGGAGGCGTATTAAATTTTGTTGTTGAGAGCAGCTAGCGCTCGTTTGAACAACGCAAATGGATCTGCAGCAGTTAATTCGCAGAGAGCGTTTAATTTTCCGGGCAGTAACGTTCTGCATAAAATACAAACAAGCACTTAAATTAATGCACGCTGACAACAGTGTATTACGAAATAAATGTTTGCAGTTTACTTCATTAAAGTGCCGTTCCTATATATCCGACGCTGCATTAAAGCATTCGTCAAAATCTCTTAATGCTTTTCCGCAGAGCCCCCCTAGCTCCGTCAATACAAATGACCCTTCCTTATTTTATAACGCATTTATTATAATCTCTCCTCCATACATGCTGATGGCCTGTACAGTCGTAGTAACATCCGGATTTGCTTCTTCCACCAGCAAGTTTTTGCCGCGCGCACCCCTTAAGGGGCCCGCAAACGGACGCTCGTTCACACATAGCGCCGTGAAGTATGCAACCCGGGTCTTAGAACCCCCGCTGGGAGGGAGGAGCTTTTCGATCTCCTGGGTGCACGTAGTTCGAGTTTCTCACGTCAGGGCAGGTGTGCTAGTGTCGCTCAAAGGGTGGTAGGGGAGGTACGAACCGAAGGTGTTTGACCTGATTCAGAGAAAAATACAAATACAAACTCGTGCTTTGTCGCCAGCTGATACAGTAGCTACTTCAACTTTACTCGCGCATTACAAATTATAGGCATTATACCAATTATTATAATTTTTTTTAAATTATAAAAAAATAAATTTTTTAAAATAAAATTAGATAAAATATTGAAGTGCTTTATATATTTTTAAATTTCATTAATTAAATTTTTTATATTATTGAAAAATGTTAGGGCAGTCGGATCGAATAAAATATAAATTTTTAATGTTGAATTTTATTGGTTAAAATTTTTTCTACATGTTTCAACTCAACTAATATTACTGTTTGTTAAATTACCAAAGGGTCCGCGAGCTTTTTTATTTTTACGCGGAGTTTTATCCAAAGATTCTCTTGTCCGTTTGCTGTCACCTGCATCGGAATTATGAGCAAAATTTGGCTCCTTTGTACAGTCCTTTTTCTCTAATGCTTTCAAAATATAATTAGGTTCTCTGATAGGCAAACCTCTCCGACGCATCGGATCAACTATTTCGGGCAAAAGACAACATTTGAAAAACCGTATAAGTTTTGGTTCCATTTTCGTTGAGTAAAATATTTTGTCCCTTTTTATAAATTCATATTTAATAAAAGGAGCCCTTTTTGTGTAAACTGCAAAAATACAAACCTCTCGGTTTGCATAATGCAATTGGCTCTGAATTTGATAATAATACTTATGATTTTTGTCAAATTCAAACTTTGGGCTACTTTTATTTTTAGAATTTGTTCCCTTTTTTTGAGACACATTTGAGGACTTGACAATTTTCCAGCAGTTAATTTTTCGTTCTAAAATTCCCTGCTCGGGTGACATATTTTGTGCACTGAAAGAACATTTGATTTCTACAATTTTATCATCATCAACAAGGCCATCAGGACTTGCACCTAAAAATGGATATTCCTCAGAGCAAAGGAAAAGACCAGCTTTTTCAATTTTGATATTTAACATTTTTTCTAAAACATCTTTAGCTTGATCCTCATTCTCTTTACCAAATTTAATACTTTTTACAACTGAAAGATCACTGTACAAAATTTGCTCCACACGAGACCTACAAAGAGTTGTAGCTCTCATTTTGCAGGATTTTTCGCACAACCACCTTGCTTTCTTTTTAGATCTCTTTGCTCTTGCCATAGCAGACCAAGAGGTGTTTTCTTCCTGAGCGTCAAAAACGCACTGAAAATCTCGTGGCTGAACTCGCGCGCAGTGCAATCATGTGAAAATAAATGTCTATTGCTTTACATTGTGTAAAAAAAACTTGGCGCCGAAAGTTCAGATTTTGTGTGTGTCAAGGATTCTGTTTTCATACTTTTCATTATTTAGAAGCAGACAGCAGACAGATTAGTCCAAGACCTACTACCAAGAAGTGGTTTTACACACAATATAATGCCAAATTCATGAAAGGTGATGAGGTGGAAACAAGCGCGGTCAATGTTTACCTACAGCAAATTCTTAAAATCCGGAAATCTTATTATGTCAATGCTGTCACGGGGGGAGAGAGGTTTCACCCACTAACAATTCAAATAGCATAATCAACGCCGCAGTGTTTTTCTTTATTTTATTTTGAACATTTATTTTTTATTCATGCCTATCCCCACAAGGAATATAAAGTATATAGCCGCAGTATATATCCTGTATGTATGTATTGTATGTATATATGTATTATTAAATCATAACATTTTAATAGAGACAATTTATAAAATAATTTTATTTCTTAAATTGTCTCTATGCTTTATTAATTTTTTCTATTTCTTTCTTCATCAAAAGTTAATATCCAGCAGACTCTAATTCTAACACTTGATATGGATTTCATGACAAATTGAAACGGGAGAACCTCGTGGCAAAGTAAAAATTAATAACTTTGATAAAAAAATTTTAGGACAACTCGTCCCAAAAGGCGACCTGGGGTCAGTTTTCCATTCTATTTTTTTTTTCTTGTACAAAAAGCTTCACCCGGTTTAATTTTTTAGGACTCCGGAATTAAAAATTTTAAAATGAAATATACAGTTCATAAAATTATATTAATTTCAATTTACATTCTAATGAATTTTTTGAGGGGCAAAAATATTTGTTTCGTTGATGCTATCGCAATTTGTAGCTTTGGTCGACTCGAAACACAGATTTACTCGAAACCATGGAACTCGCGACAATACTTCCACCGCAGGTAAAAATAATTCATCCCTTTCTACCTGCGAGAAAGAAAAATAGAAAAAGCAGCAGCAGCAGAAGGCTGAGCAGAAGCTCGAGTGGGGGAGGAAGAGGGACAGTTTTATGCTTGAACGCTGAGGGCGCCAGCGACACAGAGGCTAGCGAACAAAGATTCGTCAAAAAAGCAGTAAAATGTGCTCTAGTAACCTCAAAATATTGGTACTTCTAGTAATCGGAACTAAAAATTTATTTTTAAAATTCATATTTTAAAGAGTTGCGCTAGGGGTTGGTTTTTGTAAATTTTGCTTAAACTGCTTGGTTACGGAGCTATAATGCTCCAAAGTAACTAGTTTTTCTGGGAATTTTAGAAAATTTTCAAAAAACATTTTCGAAAAAATAGAAAAACCAACCTCTAGCTTGTTTCTTTATCTTTCTAACGAGGTATAACTTGTCCCATATACTCAAATAATAAGTTTACAAAAGTAAGGTTCCCAACACACTGCGCTGGGGTCTGTTAGCGGGCCTCTTAATGCATTATGCGCGCGCTGCGGGGATAAGCGCGGCCAAATGAAATATTCATAACGCGCGCGAGTAAGAGCGGGACGAGTAAATTGGAACCAATAACTCATTTCCTGATCAATTGGAATATTTTTACGAGTTTTCGGAGAAAAGCCTCTTATTTGCATTTTTCTTTATGCTGGCGGAACTAAGAAGGGGAGAGTTGGAGGAAATGAATTTCCCATAAATGGGATTCAAAAATTATGTTATATGCGAGTAATGCGAGAAATATATGGTTTTTGTAAAATGATTAATTATTAAACCTCTCATATTTTGACATTTGTCTTCTAATTTTATATATTATGCTACATGATAAAAAGAAAGCGGAAGATAGGTGCAGAGAAGAGAGAACTCTTAATTCAGTACCAATTTAATTAGTTGCTTTGCCATCAATAGCTATATTTTAATTACTTTATACAATAAAAAAACGTATGCTAATTGCTGATGAAATCAACTTTCTAGTAATTAAATCAACATGTAACAAATATTATGGCAATTTTTATGAAAGAAAATATGAATAAAAAAATATAAAAAGAAAAATTAAAATTAAATGTCATTATAAAACAAAAAATGATGTATGCTAAATTGTTAATTAAATTAATAATATAATTTTTTTTAATATAAATTTTAGAACTCTGGGACCTGCTAATAAAGATTTGGTTCCTTTCACGGTCCCTTCAACAGTTCTTCTCTAAAAAGGAAGTAATAAACTCAGCACTGTTTACAAAACACGTCACTTCTTTGCTCTCACAGTCCGAGTGTCGCGCCGACGCTGCCATTTTAAATTAATAGAGTGCAGTCCAAGTTAATGAATTTACTCCTCCTTGAGTGTTTGGATAAAATGTCCAATAAAGAAAGGGGCGCGCGCAGTTCGTTTTATGTGTGCTGCTGTCGTGGGGAATTAAGACTTACACGCTCGCTTTCGCTCTGGACTGCCGCCGCGGGTGACTTTTTCATCTGGCCTAGACCGCAAATGGCAGTGGCAAGAGCCAAAGCCAAAGGGCTGTGCACCGACTGCGATGAAATGAAGCGCAGAAAAGTAGCGACCGAAGATGAAAAATACATAACAAAAAATAACTGGCAGCCGAACAAAACTCATCGCAGCAGGGCCGTGCACTTTGTTGAAAGTGAGCGCCACGCCCCACTTTGTTGACCTTTCCCTTTTATTCTTTTGACAAAGCCAAAGCTCTCCTCCAGCTCTTATATTGAAACCGACGACCCTCAAACAAAATCTCTTTCTCTCTCTCTAGGTTCTGTCCAAAGTGGTTGTGAAATGAATTAAAAAGCACCCACAGAAACCCACGGAATTGCTCTTTCGCAGGCTGCCGTGTGTGTTCTCCTTTTATGTAATTAGCAATTGCCTTGACGGTCCCTGCGAGCAAGAGAGAAATTTATTTTTGGATTAATCTCGAGTGAACCAACAAACACTCCACGCTCCAAAGACCGACACTCATTAATGAAAATTGCCAATTTTCGAAAATCTCCAAACTTTTTGCGTTTTCTTTGTGCTGGAGAAAATTGCAATCCCTTTATTCCACGCTGCGAGTTTCAAACATTAATTGGAACTTCCTCTCGCACCCAAGGGCAATCCGCGTGCAAACGAGGATCAGATTTCTCTAAAATCACGCGCTGTGAAAAATGTTATTACGAGAGAGCTGCGCACTCGCTCCGATTGGCTTCATCAGAGCTGCCGGCTTTCATCTAATATTTAAACATTCGAAAGGCCTCTCTCCGCACGCCTAAATTAGAGCCAATTGTTGCTGCCGCGCTGGTAATTGGAGACGAGAGCTGCGAATCATTAATATTTCATATACGGGTTTACCCCTTCCTCCCGAGCACCCTCACAGAAGGCATTAATGTCGCACCTCTATGGTTTCCTTGCACGTCCTTTGACGGATAATCACAATGTTTGTTGATTCGCCGCCAAAGAACTTTTTTCGTCTTTGATAATTATCCTGTATACGAACTTTGGAACAAACAAGTAGCTAGAAAAGAGTTGAAACATAATCCCTTATGGGCAGATTTTGAGCAGTCAAACCACAGGATTCCGTTTATCTTCTATATTTCACACTGTAAAACATTATTACAATCAATATCTTGTCAAATTTAAAATTAATTAGAGAATTCTTAAATCTACATATTCAAATTGGCTAATTTGTGAATCAAGTTTTGGACATTAAATAATTGTTCAGCATGTAGAATTTATACATCATTTTAAAGAGAAATTATTCAGGATTAAGAAAATCGTTATTTGAATGAACTTACCCCTAATTTAGGGCATGAAAACGGGGGTGAAGAATTCGCCTTTGAGGATGGCGAAGTTGCTATGGCAACAAACGGTTTGCGAATAAACAGACGGCCGGCAGGGTGTGCCAACCTGAGAGATTTTACAACACAGGGCGCCACAGGAGCCCCCCGGGGTATGACCGGAGGTCAGGGTTTGGGCGGAAGAACAAACTTAACTCGACGACCGTACCGAGTGAACACGGGTGCAGGAGAGTTTTTCACAGCGGGTGACGAAGAGGTCTCAACTGGCTCGGGCGCTGGTGGTGCTCGAGTGGTCTCCGTTGGTGCTCGAGTAGGCGCCGCCGGTACTGGAGTGGGCCTCGGAGAACAAAGGGTTGCTGGTAAAGCAGTTTCTGGCTCTGGTGGCAGGGTAAAAGCAGGTTTCAGGCGGTCCTTAGAAACGACCATCGACTTATTTCGAACCAAAATTTTGAAAGTTTTTTCTCCTCTGGACAGGACTTGGTGAGGGCCTGTGTAGGGTGGCTCAAGAGAGGCTCTCACTCTGTCGGTTCGCAAGAAAACACTGGGGGCGGTTTCAAGCTCTTTGAAGACAAAAGTTTTTGGTGCTGCATGACGAGAAGGTTCGGAGGGTTGGGCCGTGACAAAAGTTTCTCGAAGAGCGCGCAGGAGCTCAGGAGTGTCCAGATCAAGGAACTTTGAGACATTGAAGAACTCTCCTGGAAGACGAAGGGTCTCGCCGTACACCAGCTCTGAAGGGGTGCAACCAAGGTCTTCGTTGAAGTGGCAACGAAGGCCGAGAAGGACTGTTGGCAGGCTTGAGGTCCAAGTTTCATCTTCGTGGCACATGATGGCTGCTTTCAGGGTACGGTGTAGGCGCTCCACCATCCCATTTGACTGTGGATGGTATGCAGTTGTGCGCACCAGGCGAACACCAAAGAGGGAAGTGAATTGCTTGAAAAGGTCACTTGTGAACTGTCGTCCTTGGTCTGTGATGATGGTTTCAGGACAGCCAAACCGAGAAATCCAGTTATTGAAGAGCGTCTTGCAGATCAGGTCAGCCGGAATTTCGGGAATTGGGAAGGCTTCGCACCATCTGGTATATCTGTCCACAACTGTCAGACAGTAGCGATTTCCATTTGAGGGTGGTAGTGGTCCAACAAGGTCAATGTTGAGGACAGCGAAGCGAGACTCAGGTAGAGGCAGGTGACCAAGGGGGGTTCTCACATGCCGAGTAACCTTGCAGGCTTGGCAGGACTGGCAGGATTTGGCCCAGAGGTTGATGTCCTTGTTTGCACCTGGCCAAATGAACCGACTGCAGATCAACTTGGCTGAGGCGCGCGCACCTGGGTGGCTCAGAGAATGAAGTTGGTCGAAAACTGGGCGCCTGAAACTTGGTGTGAGATAAGGGCGAGTGCTTCCAGTTGAAATGTCACAAAAAATTTGCAAATCTGATCCAGGGATGTCAACTTTTTCAAGATTTAGTGCAGATCCATTTTCCAGCAGTTTTTTCAATTCAGGGTCCTTTTCCTGCTCCCTGGCCAGGTCCTCGAAGTGGACAGGTGAGGCTGAGATTTTGCTGACCCTGGAAAGTGTGTCCGCGACGACGTTCAGCATGCCAGAAATGTGCCGGATGTCGGTGCTGAACTGGAAAATAAAATCAAAGTGACGAGTTTGGCGTGGAGAGGAAGTGGAGTTGCTCTTTGTTGCTGCAAAGGTAAGAGGCTTGTGATCTGTGAAAATGGTGAAGGGTCGAGCCTCGAGCATGTGCCTGAAGTACTTCACAGTCTCGTAAATTGCCAGAAGTTCTCTGTCGTAAGGACTGTATTTTTGCTGCGCAGGTGAGAGTCGCCTAGAGAAAAATCCAAGTGGCTGCCATTCTCCATCAACCTCCTGCTGCAAGGCGCCGCCCATGGCGAAGTCGGATGCGTCGGTCACAATCGAGAGAGGACAATCTTGCTTGGGGTGGGCGAGGAGAGTGCAGTTTGCCAGAGAAGACTTGCAGAGGTGGAATGATGACTCTGCCTCAGGAGTCCAACTCAGTGGTGCCTTCTTCGTTTTGCCAGAGGCCAGGAGAATTTTGCTAAGTTCTCTTTGGTCCTTGGCAGCTGAAGGGAGAAATCTGTGGTAGTAGTTAAGCATTCCCAGAAAGCGTCGCAGCTCCTGGACGGTGTCTGGTTTGGGAAAGTTGGTGATGGCCTCAACTCTCTCTGGAAGTGGCTGAATTCCTGCTGAAGTAATCTTGTAGCCCAGAAAGTCAACTTCAGGAACGCCAAACACACATTTGAGTGCGTTCAGCAGGACGCCGTACTGGCTTAGGCGCTCAAAAAGGATGCGTAGATGCTCGGCATGTTCCTCTGGAGTTCTTGATGCAATGAGCAGGTCGTCCAGGTATGGAAAGACGAAGGGCAAGTCTCTGGTAATCTCGTCAATAAAGCGCTGAAAAGTTTGACCTGCATTACTTAGCCCAAATGTCATGAATGGGAACTCAAACAAACCAAATGGAGTAATAATGGCTGTCTTAGCAATGTCATCAGCGTAAACTGGAATTTGGTTGTAGGCCCTGACAAGGTCAATCTTGGAGAAAATTGTACAGCCTGAGAGATTCTGAGTGAAGTCGTGGATGTGTCTGATGGGGTATCTGTCAGGCTGAGTGCGTGCGTTAAGTCGAACGTAGTCTCCGCAGGGGCGCCAGGTGCCGTCCTTTTTGGGGACCATGTGTAGGGGTGAAGCCCAAGGACTCTTGGAAGGACGACAGGTGCCCTCGGCCATCATCTCACTGAAAATTTTCTTAGCGGCTTCGAGTCGTGCTGGATCAAGGCGGCGCGCCCTGGCATGTTCTGGTGGACCTGGAGTGGTCAGGATGTGGTGCTCCACGGCGTGTTTGACTTCCCGTTTTACTCCTGCAGGCTTAACTAATTCTGGAAAGTTCCGCAGAATGTCGAGAAAAATGCTCTCTCCAGTGATGGCAAGAACGCTTGGGATTTCCGTAGTTGTGGAAAATCCGGGTGCTGCAACATTTGTCAGGCTGTCGAGGAGCTTCTTCCTTTTGACGTCGATGGACAGGTCAAAATAACTGAGAAAGTCGGTGCCAATGATTGGACGGTCAACATCAGCAACAATAAAGTTCCAGGTAAATTCTCTGCGCAGACCTAAACTCAGAGTGAGGGTTGTGGTGCCGTAGGTGCTGATAGATGTGCCATTTGCCGCAGTCAAAGAAAGTGTTGCTCTTGGTCGGGACGTTTTGACTTTGGAACGAGGGAAAACGCAGACATCAGAGCCAGTGTCGATCAGAAATTGATTTTTGGAAGTTTTGTCTGTGACGATGATGCGGCTGGGTGGCGCAGAGCGAGCGGCTGCCGCGCCTACTGCCCGCTCTTGGAGTTTTCCTGCTTCGGGGTGGCCTTGGTGCAGCCCTCCGAACACTTTCGAGCCTTGGTGCCAAAAGTCCGATGGTAGAAGCAAACTCCGTCAATGAGAGAGTCTCCTCTGGAGCGGCTTCTCTGCTGCCTGGTTCTTGATTGGTTGCGCCTCTGAGGGCGTGACCTTCCTTGGGCCACTGCGTAGACCTCACATTTCTCAGCGAAAAGAGCATCCAGTTTTTTCTCCAAAAATTGCATGATGTCCTCGGTCGTCACTGTTGAGGAAACTGCGTTGACTGATGGCTTTTGTCCAGCCATTGAGAGCGCAATTTTGTCTGCAACCTCTGCAAGCTGCTCAAGAGGGAGACCAGTCAGCGTTGAAAGCAGAGGACCATACGCTGGAGGCAGTCGATCAATCCAAATGGTCCGCAATGCGTCTCGTGTCATGGAATTTCCAGCAAGGCTTTCCAAATGCCTGAAGAACTGAGCTGGAGTTTTATCACCGATCTCGGCCTGAGTGAGCAGCTGGCGCAGCTTTTGGTCATTGGTGGGTGCGAGTCTCTTGATGACGGCTTCCTTCAAGTAGTCGTACTGGCCACTTGCAGGACGAGCACGAATAATATCTCTCAGCTCGACGTGGGCCTCGTAGGACAGGTTGCTAATAACGTGAGCATATTTAGTCTCTTGGTTGGTAACTTTGGCCAAGTGGAACTGGCAATCGGCAATGTCAAACCAAGCCTCGGGGTCATGTTTCCAAAAAGTCGGGACTTTCACAGAGACGTGATGTACGAGTCCCTGCTGGCTTCCATTAATTCCCTGCTGGCTGAGAGAGAACTGCGGCTGTGGCTGCTGCTGTGGCTGTTGCTGTGGCTGCTGCTGTTGCGGCTGCTGCTGTTGCGGCTGCTGATTTTGTGGAGGAAAGAGAAACAAGTTCCTCTGTGGAGATTCAAGCTGGCTGCTTTCGTTTCCGGCTTCCATTCTGATGTGTTCGAATGTCGGGTAGTCACCAGTTATGGGCAGATTTTGAGCAGTCAAACCACAGGATTCCGTTTATCTTCTATATTTCACACTGTAAAACATTATTACAATCAATATCTTGTCAAATTTAAAATTAATTAGAGAATTCTTAAATCTACATATTCAAATTGGCTAATTTGTGAATCAAGTTTTGGACATTAAATAATTGTTCAGCATGTAGAATTTATACATCATTTTAAAGAGAAATTATTCAGGATTAAGAAAATCGTTATTTGAATGAACTTACCCCTAATTTAGGGCATGAAAACGGGGGTGAAGAATTCGCCTTTGAGGATGGCGAAGTTGCTATGGCAACAAACGGTTTGCGAATAAACAGACGGCCGGCAGGGTGTGCCAACCTGAGAGATTTTACAACACAGGGCGCCACACCCTTTTCAGCCCGGAAAGGGAGGCTACATAATTAATTAATTTTTTTAATGTAATTAGAACCTGCTCTTGCCAGCCAAGAGAGTGAAAAGACGTTTTTAAAGGATCGTATAAATAATTTGAGTATACAAAACGCAGGGTGGCTTTTCAGACTTTTCAGAATCGCCCCCAAGCTGAGATGAACAAAACACGGCCGGGCGCGTAAATTATAAAGGGGTGCAAAAAAGCAGACGTGCTACAAGACGGGTAATTAATAAGGCGTGGATAAACCGACGCCCATACTTTTTTCTCTCTCATGACGGATAGTGCGTAATTACAAGTCTGTGAGAGTGCAGATGAGGCCGAGCGCCACAATTAGGAGCCAAATTAGAAGGATTCTCAAAGCCCGGCCCAATTTTCAGAATTCAATGGCATGAATCTGCTTTTCTCAAAATGTTATTCAGACTGTTTGTTTGCTTTGTATTCTCGTGTGGCGCCAATTCGAATTTCATTTTTGAAAACGAGAGTAAAAGCAAACACAATTCCCGGCCGTTAGTTTATATTTCGGGCACGTGGAACGTAATCAAAGGTGCTTTTAGCGCCCGGGTAAATAATATTATACAAATTGTACGTTGTAATGGGAGAGTGTTTGTACCTGGAGCTAATTAAAGGGTGACATTTGCAAAACCTTAAGGAACGTGGGCGTGAGAGGTGGGCTGAAAACTTCAACAAGAAAAGAGAATTCTGATAATATTTTTACTGCAAATAAAGTTTAATCCACATAACAAGGAGGTCAATTTTGATTGAATATTCAAAAGGAAGAGGCAAAATCTATTCTTTTAATCCAAATTAAATCGAGCCACAGCAATAAATAATAATCTTAATTTTAATCTGATCTCTTAAGAAATCATAAAAACTTTCACAGAAAAAATGTTAATGTTGGTTACATTAAATTTTTTAAATTTACAAAATGAAGTGAATTTTATAAATAATTACCAATTGCATTTTAATAAAAATAATAATGACCCTTTAAACCACTTTAAACTATGATTCTTTTTATTCTCCATAGAGAGATAATAATCATTGAACTTTAAATTTAAAAAATCTTTTGATTAGTCAAAACAAATTATTTAAAAAATTATGAAAATATCCCCAAGAATATGAAAACCTCACCAACAATAAGATAGATTATGATATTGCGAACAATTAATAAATATTAATATTATAATTGACAAATCTCTCACTCTGAAACCACTGTCAGGTTATAACAAGGAAATCACTGCAGATCAAACAAATGTCTCTGCTCTATTATTATTTTTACCGGGCGTCTGCAAGTGAAAGAGTGGCGACCATTACAGCTAATGGATAAGAATGAATCGGCGTGCGAATCGAACGCGGTCACCTAGCCACAGATGAAGCGGCCAACCGCACACCCACCGCCGTTTGCCGAGTGTTATTCTTCACGAGTGCAGGATAGAGAAAGAAAGAAAGAGGTGTCGGACGTAATGTGTGGTGGTCGGCGCTCGTTGAGCGGCCAGAGATGGAAAAGCGAAAAGGCTCTTCAATGGCCGGATGAGATTTTTCCGCCGTCGATCCATCAGTCTTGCTCCGAATGCAAACACTCCAGGGTTGAACATAAATAAATGAGCAGAGATCGCGGTCGGTCTTGGCAGCAGCGCGCAAGGGGCCGAGCTTGTTTTTGGTCTCGCCGGGATTTGGATTCTGCATGAACATTTCATCTGCTCAAATAGACTCGGGGAGCTTTTGACGCGAGCATTCTATTTAGTTACCTCAATCCCGGCGCCACACCCCTCGCGATATTGAAACGGGAGAAAAAATCTCGGAGCTGAAAGGGATTTGAAAAATTAATTAGAAAATTTGCATTTGGCAGGTTTTGAATAACAGCTATAGAGAACAGGGGAAATGTCCATGCTTTTAAATTAAGTGCAGTTTACAGACTGCAGTGAAGGGCCGTTACGAGCTACACATTGAAGATTATTTCAAGAGGGTTCAACGAAGGTCTAGAGATAATATTATGTATAAAATTGACAGATTACTAAAAGGAATTTTTTTGAAGAAAAAAAAATTAAGAATTGCATGTGTGTGACATTAAAAATTAACTGATTTTAAGGGCAGGTTAATAAATAAGTTAGAGAAGATAATATTTTATAATATATTTTTTTAAATTTTAAAATATATTTTTTTTCAAAAGATTTCATATTTAAAAATTTAAATTTACAAAAATCACTTAAAAAAAAACTAGGAAAATAGAAAAAATCGTACAAAATGTATTGTTGCAATATTATAAAAAATAAATTATAATTTACGCATAATTTCAATAGCTCTTATCTTAAATTGAAATGTTTGAAATGTGTTTTAAAAAGTACATAATAAAAAACTGAAATTCATTCAGTAAAGTCTTTCTAATAATTTAATGCTGAACAAGACCATACACAGAAACAATGAACTACTGCAGTGGGCTAATTAAAACCGAGTGACCCGGCCACCAACGACGGCCATTTCAAAAGCGGAGGCTTTCCGGGCCAAATTTGTGCGGCGCGACGACAAAACGGCCTTTCCGACTGTGCCATTGGGTCTGCTAATGCAAATTAATTCAAACGGCGGGTCTCGCCGCGTGCTCAATTTTAATTAACTCTCAACAGCGTGTGAGAAGGTCGCGGAGCAATTTACGTGCCCGAAATAAGAATCGGCGTTGGCGATTCTTATACTCGGGAGGGCCGGAAGGTCGTCAGATTTGGTTAGTTTTGGGTCACAACGCTTCGACGCACACCGGCCAGGGCCACCGACCGGTCTCGGGGGATAGGCCGCCCTGAAACGCAACATGAAATATTATAGGGGTTGACACATGAGCACACAAACTCGCCCGCCTTACATATGTATACGTCTCGCGCGTGTGCACCCTACTCGCGCGGCCCATACGCAAAACGTACCTTGCCAGAAATAAATAGCAAGGAGCGTCTTGCACGGGAAAACTTTTTTCGCACCCCAGCTGTGTGAATAATGGTTTTTGTGCCTAAACAAACGAGCCGAGACGCGTCACCAACGTTTGTTTTTCGGCCACCGGCGTCCATTGTAACCAATTTTGCGTTGGAAATTTGTCAAAATTCGTGTAACCTCACATTTTTTTCATACTCATTTGGTTTATTATTATTATTATTATTATTATTATTATTATTATTATTATTATTATTATTATTATTATTATTATTATTATTATTATTATTATTATTATTATTATTATTATTATTATTATTATTATTATTATTATTATTATTATTATTATTATTATTATTATTATTATTATTATTATTATTATTATTATTATTATTATTATTATTATTATTATTATTATTATTATTATTATTATTATTATTATTATTATTATTATTATTATTATTATTATTATTATTATTATTATTATTATTATTATTATTATTATTATTATTATTATTATTATTATTATTATTATTATTATTATTATTATTATTATTATTATTATTATTATTATTATTATTATTATTATTATTATTATTATTATTATTATTATTATTATTATTATTATTATTATTATTATTATTATTATTATTATTATTATTATTATTATTATTATTATTATTATTATTATTATTATTATTATTATTATTATTATTATTATTATTATTATTATTATTATTATTATTATTATTATTATTATTATTATTATTATTATTATTATTATTATTATTATTATTATTATTATTATTATTATTATTATTATTATTATTATTATTATTATTATTATTATTATTATTATTATTATTATTATTATTATTATTATTATTATTATTATTATTATTATTATTATTATTATTATTATTATTATTATTATTATTATTATTATTATTATTATTATTATTATTATTATTATTATTATTATTATTATTATTATTATTATTATTATTATTATTATTATTATTATTATTATTATTATTATTATTATTATTATTATTATTATTATTATTATTATTATTATTATTATTATTATTATTATTATTATTATTATTATTATTATTATTATTATTATTATTATTATTATTATTATTATTATTATTATTATTATTATTATTATTATTATTATTATTATTATTATTATTATTATTATTATTATTATTATTATTAGAGTCAGGCCAAGACAAAGTCTTGTTGGGCTGTGCCCTTTATTAGTGGTGCAGAATACACCACCTGATTAACTTTTTATTCTTTTTTTTCTACTATATTAAAAAATCATTATTTTTTGCTGGCATATCCTTATTTTCGTCCACGCGATGATGACAACAAGCTGAAAACTAAAAACGAGAGAGAAAAGATTGAGAAAGGATGTGGATAGGTTGGGGTTGGGGAAGGTCAGATTTTGATATTTTGTAGGTGTTAAGGATTTAATGCATAATCTTTTGATACATTAATTATGTTTATTTTTATATTTTTTTGTGCTGCAAACTAAAATTAAAGAAAGTTTTTTTTTTGGGGGGGGGGGGGTAAATTTTTGTGTGTGCTGGAACAGCAATTTGTTGTTCAGTTTGGAATTAAGGGTTGATACCATAA